ATTCGGACAGAGTCGGCTGTTGACTTGTGGTCAGATCCTTCAACCCCAGACAGAAAGCATCTCTTTAGATGTTGTGAATATAAGATGACTTCTGTCCTAAAGAACATTCTTAAGTAGTTCAGAAGACTCATCCATACTTGTACAGTAATTTCAATTCCATTAGCAACATGGTGAATGTACTCTGTTGTTTTATACGCTTTTCTCAACTGTGCTGCTGCAGAAGAATTCCACTGAAGGTTTTCTGTAGGCTACCTTTTTCTTTGACAGGTAGATGAAAAGTAAAATTATTACTGGAAAAACCTGTTGCCAGGGGCTCCTCGTTGTACAGCTGTGCTCTTTGACATAGTTCAGCCTTGTATGTTTAGTCAGTCATGAAGTTAAAGTTACATATCAGTGACATGGAAAAGTACATCAAGGCTGGTTGTTCCATGTTCTGTGGTTTCTGCCTAAAACAAAAAACACCTTCACTACATACACAGGGTGTTTGTATTGCTGATGTTAGTAAAACTAGGAAAAACTGGTTCATGTGGTAGGTGTGTCCAGTTAGTGTTCACATCAGTGGTTGGAAACTGTCCATAAGCTGCAAGCTATATGACTGTTTCTCTGAATTTACTTCTTCATACCTTTGACTTATTTCCTCAATGATGCTAGTCATATACTGCAGGAAATAAAGCTACAGGAAGATAACACAGGCCTCAACACAGAAGACTATAGTACATATAGAAGAAAGTGCTGGAAATCCGCGGATTTGTTTACTGTGCTAATGGCAGTGAGGACTTGTGAAGGACAGGCTTCTTCGTCAAACATCTCAGAATATGAGGAGGGATTATGTACAGCTTTTAAATGTTCTCAGCATTGACGAGTACACAATTATGTAAGAAATTAGTCTGCATCTCATTAATGCTGCCAGAGGCAAAACATATCTGTTTGAACTTTGATGGGTAAACATCAAGACAAATACAGGATATGTATTCAAGATTGCCTCATGGGCATTCAGCAGGCGAAGACGTAGCTGTCAGTGCTACCTTGCTTTCCCTCTCCCTCCCTCTTTAGTTATGATTTTACCCCTCTCTTCTCTGCCTCTTGCCATTTTGCTGAAAATAGGAGGAGCTGTCTAAGTAATCCAACACCTGCCCAATTCATGAGTGTTACTGTAACTTGCTGAACTGCCCTGACAAGTGCAGGGGTTAAAACAGACCGAAGCTCATAGCTCAGGCGGCACCTCTGTACAGCAGAAATTTGCCACCTGTTCAAGAGAAAGACGTTTGTAAGGAGGGAAAGGGAAGATAAAAACACTACACCAAAAAAAGGGAGAAACCTGGCACAGCTTCAAATGACTCCTTTGGAAGAATGATAGAAATAGCTGCAGGCTACCCACCATCCAACCTGTCTGTAGAGGAGAGTGCTGTGAGAGACATGGCTGAGGGTGAGACAGATTGCTCTGAGGGACTGGATGAGATTGTCCTGGGGCGCATTGCCAGCTCCCCCCAGGATCCGTTCCCACCCAGGGACTTCAGAGGGAAGTTTAAAGGGATACGCAAAAAGAAGAGGCCCACCATTCTTGAAAGTAGGTAGTGTTTTGACTCTGGGAAGTTGTGTAATCACCCCAAGAGGGGGGGTGGGAAATGTGATTATTGAAAAATGTGATGTAAAGGCAGTGTGAGCTTTTGAGCTACGACTTTGTAAAATTCCTCACCTCACCACTGTATTTGAAATAGTAACCTAGGAATCTGATGGGCCGTTGGTAATGGACTCAGACAGTGGGAGAGTACGTCACACAGTTTTTGGCACTTTGTTGTTGAACTCATTGTTAGAAATTGGCTTTGTAACTGACCTCGCTTTACAAAAATGTTCTACATATGTCTTTAGAAAAACAAGCAACAAGGGAACAGTAATGACATGAAATAAAGACCTGAACACATGAGCCAAAAGAGCAGATGAGGAAATGAGAGGCAAGAGGGAGAGTAGGGGGGAGTCAAGGGTTTGAGCTTGACAACCAAAGGATGGCTGAATTGGACAGACATGCCTCACATTCCACACCTCCATCAGAACTTGATAATGCATTTAATAAATGCTTAATGTGTCAGAGCTTTCACCCACCTACTTTAAATTCTGCTTAATGAAAAATGTTTACAGTCATTGTCGTCTTTGGCAGTGCGTTTCTGATTTATTGCTGCTTTCAGAACATTAATGCTGGTGAAGCTGCCAGTATTCAAACGTGCAAACTTGGTAATTATGAGACTACGGAAGCTTCTTAACAAGTGGCGCTGAACCCTATCCCGTGTGCCAGCAAACTGTCAGTGTTTTATGTGTAAATGTTTGGCAGCAGTTTTGCCAACAGCTTTAGAAATATCCAGATAAGGTGTTATGCCATAAACACTGTGTCTAAGTTTCCTCAAAGTTGCATTAGGTCTGATATTTTCATGATATCCGCTCCTGGCTGTTACATTGCGCTGAGAACCAAACATCCTGCTGCCTTCTCTGGCATTTTCGTCACGTGGGTTGATATGCTTTGTCACTGTGAAATCATTCAGCCTGCTTCTTTGCTGTCTACTGCAGTCACTTCAAATCATTCTGAGAAACAGAACCATTAGACAAGTTATTGTTGTTTCTCAACTAAAAGGAAGTGTGGGATGTCAGGACAGGAGAGAACTGGAAACATTAAGCCCTCATTGTTTTTGATTAGTGGTATTTCATATACACTACTACTGTTTCTGTGCAGTGTTGAGCCCTTAGTGAAGTGAGATGCCAGTCACTGTGCTGTTGTGTAGAGTTGACACAGAAAAATGTTAAACATAGTCTCTCACACAGTAAAACATGATCTCTAGACCCGTATCACTGTTTCATTTTCATTTTTAGCGTCACTAGTGTTGTTGGTGTTTTTGTGCTTAATTGATGTCAAGTTTTAACTCAACACTGACTTTACTTTGACTTCACTCAGTCTAGTGGACTTGCTGAAAACAAATTAGTCAGCTAGGGAATTACGTAACTGTTAACCCTTTGTGGGGCCTCTTACTGGACAAGCAAGGGTCACCGGATTATTACTGATGGATAAGCCAGGGAAGTGAACTGTATTTGTTCAGCATTTAAAGAATCCATTTAGGCCAATGGGTTAAGCAGTTAACCATAAATAATCAAATTTACTCTAATTAAATAGTAATATTTCTTATCACTGTGTGTGTTTACTTTCTGTCTGGAATCAGGATGACATACCATTCTTTCTGTCTGAGGATGACTAAATCTTATCTGAGAAGACTAAATCTTAGTTGCTTTGCAGAATCCTCAAATTTTTCTCCTCTGAAAAGGTTTTTGCTCTAACCCTCTGAATGATACCATACTGCTGATAATGGTGCAATGTACTGATGATAGGGCAGAGACACTGGCAACATCTGAAGATTTACTTATTAACAAAACTATTTAGGCTCAACATAAACAGCTGTAGTGGTCACCAGGTACCTGTGCAGCTTTACTTCTCCTCATTTCATTAAGGCACCACAGATGAAGCAAGCAATAATATAAGGCAAATATTGATTTGTGTGAACAGCAGTAATATAAATGTGAGATTTCACCAATATTTAATCGTCTTGTGAACTGTGATAGTGTCTGTCACATTGTGTAACCTCTGAGCTGCCTTTTTAAAGTAATAGTTAGCAGCTACATACAAATTGGGGTTTTTTTTATCATCATACTGTCCCACCTAAGGTGTTTGTTCTTCAGTAGATTTAATATTAGGAGAAGTTGTTACAGTCCCTGAAGTTTCAGCTCTACATATGATTCACTCCCTCCCTGAGTGGAATTTTTGGTTGAAGGTGACGAGAGCCACCTTCAACCGTCCTTCAGTAGCCTATTCAACACTAATTGTTGCTTCAGCCAGTATAACTGCTCTGCCAGGTGTACTTATTATCACCAGTCGTGTTTTTCACGTTATTTGTAAAAGACACCTCCCTTACTTCACTCCCTGCATTGTGACAAACTGAACGAGTGTGTCAGGGATTAGAACAAGTTGAAAACACACAGATGGTGACACACATCAAAGGAGCACTTTTTTTTAAAGGTGGTTTGGCTAGTGGTGCCAAAATAAAAACAAAGTCAGCGCTGTGGCTTCTCCATCACAGCTGATAGGATTATACTAAGACCACTAAGAGGTGGAAGAGGAAGGGAGATTGGAGGCTGTGTTTTACAGTATAATCTACATGTTTGGTGATGTGTGTCTTTTTACACAGCAAAATATTGGTAAACGGTCTTATACTTCTATAGCACTTTTCTACGCAATGCAGCGCACTCAGAGCGTATGGCCAAATAGTGTGTATTTGGCCATTCACATTCCCAAATTCACACACCGAGAGCAACTGAGGGTTCAGTGGGTTGCTCAAGAACACTTCGACATGTGGACTGGACAAGCCGGGAATCAAACTGCTAATCTTCCAGTAAAGAGACGACCCACTCTACCGCTTGAGCCACAGCCGCGAATAGCTGTGTTTTTAATTGTTTTTGAGCAACAACTGAGATCTATTACAGAGATGAACAAGTGAATCCAGGACTGTTAGCCGACAGATATAAACCATGAGTAGAGGCAATTTATTGTTGGTTTTATCTGCAGTTATTTAAAGTTGTTGCAGTTAGGAAGTAAAAGGGTTAAAAGCCAACAGTCAGCCCTGGTCCCATGCTGATCCCCTGCATGCAGTTAATTTTAATTCTTTGTGAAACTCCTCCCAGATGTTCCTTGTAATGTCCCATACTTCCTGCATTCTCCATCTCCTCTGTCAGTGGTGGTGGTCCTTCACATGTTCTCAGTCATGCTGAAAGATGCACAAGCCCAGCACTGTCATCATTATTAGGCCATGCATGCAGACAGACAGTTATTATTAGTGTAACTGTGATGATTGAATCCTGCACTTTCAGCCTCCATGCAGTTATTTAGAGGGAGCTTGCATTGCCGCCCACTGCCTGCCACAGCTTTAGAGAGAGAGACAGATGCTGAGAGAGCATGGAGGGATGGAGAGAGAGACGGCTGACAACCAAGGACAGGACACAAGAGGAGGGGTGAAGCAGTGCTAGTTGTTTTTTCTCAGGATCTCATTAGCACAGCATTGTGTTCGTCACAGAGAGGTGACAGCGGGCGCTACCTGCTGATAGCAGCTCAGCTGCTGCTGTTGTTGCTGCTACTGGAGGGAAACTACAACTAGAGGGGGACACTCACCAGGGAGCTGCAGTCATGGCCAGCCAGCAGGACTCAGGCTTCTTTGAAATCAGCATCAAATCCTTGCTGAAGTCATGGAGCAGCAGTGAGTATGAGTTTGTGTCTTGTTGTTGGTGTGCTCAGCTGGCAGAGCTCGCTAGCTGACTGAGGCTGCAGCTCTACTGAGAACCTGACTTTATAGCCTCTTTCTCCTCTTGTGTTCTATGACAGGGATGGGCTATTGCTTGCTCCAGAATGAGCTCAGTACAGTTTTACTGTTCAACACGACAGTTGCTGCAAACATGGAAGCATCTTACTTTTAGTAACCGAGCACCACACTTCCAAAAGGTTTTCAGCTGTCTCATAGCAACAGTCAATTACATAACTCCAAGTATCTAGCAAGACTTACTGGCTCAGAAGAAGTTGCTCATTAGACACAGGCACAAAGTGTTGCACTGTGGTAGAGCATAAGTTACATTAACCACTGTACTAAAGGTTCTACTCATGGTGATTCAGCATTTCATTTCTGTTGTTTCTTTTTAAATGGTAGCCTTATTTTGTTTAAATCTGTGACTCTTATTAAGTGCAAGGACACAGTAATAGGATTAGTGGAAGTTCACTAAGCCTGTGAGGATGGGATGGTATACCTTCCTGCTTCTGCTGATGGCATAATTCTCTTTTATATAAGATGCAAGTGGTTGCCTGCAGGATGGTTGCTAACATAAGCATGAAGTGGAAAAACAGGCCATATCTAAGGAAATAGGACCTTAGCAGATTAAGCACTTGTGGTATATATTCCCCACTAGACCCAAATACAACTGAGTAACTAAAGCAATCTCAGTGCCTGAAATCAAAAGTGAGACAGCTGCACCTCTCAGACAGCATGGCAGCTTGTGTTTAAGCATCTACCGAATCTGAATGGAAAGCGATACCATAGAACGTGCTGTCCCCATCTCCACACTCAACATTCACAGTGAGGCTCTCTGCTGATAAACGAACAGTCATTGTACTGTATCAGCAGCTATCCCTGGCGATGCATTTAACGTTTTCCTTATACACTGTATGTAATCTTCTAATCTCATGTCTCTGCTCCCCTTTACATGAGCTGTAATGCATCACAAGACTGCAACAGACAGTGTAGTTAAAACACTAGGATTCCAGACGTAATGGTTGTTTATATGAAAGTGACAAAATATTTATTAATTAATACTTCATTAAGTATTCTAAATATGGAAGTCATTTTTGAGTCTGATTCAGTTAATGGAGCCAGTGAGCACAAGGTGAACAAAGTCGAGGCCCTTTAGACACTGATCTCTCATAAGTCAGTCTGTCCACCCCTATAAAGCAACCAGCAGCACAGCTCTGGTGTTGTGTAGCAGCAGATCAGATCTGGTGTTTAAATCATATAAAGGCCAGTCCACCATCAGCTAATCAGAGCAGGAGAGAGAGAGAGAGAGAGAGAGAGCGAGATGAGCATAGCAGTGCTCCTCTAATGAGTAATCAAAAAGGTTGTTTCATTTGCCTTTGTTTTTGTGTATTTCTGCATAAATTGGTCATAAAATGTGATCTGATCTTCACCAAAGTCACAAATATCAACAAATGCAATATTCCTAAGGTGATAAAACACAAACAGTCATGATTATTCATGTCCTTGTTGAACACACCCATTAAATATACAAAGTAATGACAATTGTGTTTGAATAACTGGTTGAACCACCTTTGGGAGCAATAACCTCAAGTAATCTCTTCCTCTAGTTGTGGATTAGACCTGCACAGTGTTCAGGAGGAATTTCCAGCATGATGTCAGATTGCTAAAACAAGGTCTGTAGTTTGAGACTAACATTTTAATCTGCTTTTCACAGAGGTCTACAATCACTCTCTCACAATCTCCACTCCCCCAGATTTTTTGAGACACTGAAACTGAGAACTTGTGATAATGTAATATTATTAGGATGTTGTTCCATTGACTCCAGCTTTGCCTCATCTTTTGTTATTTCAACAAAAACGTTTAGCTTTATCTCTAGATAGTATTCCTGAAGCCTTGCCAGAATTAAAGGTAACATTTTACTGTTGTATACATATAGTTTTTTAACAAATGAAATCATAGGGTAAGCTCAATCTCAGTTTCATTTTAATATGAAATATCGTAGTCACTGTGGCACATCTGGCTGTTAACGAGCACGCTGCTTGTTTCCTCTGACCTTAAACTTGGCCTAAACTAGCTGACAACGTGCTTCCACTTATTACATTACATGGCACAAACTTTTTCTTATTACTGATTACAGTGGAGCACCTAAGAGCAGCCTCTTTTTACTCCCAGCCTGGAAGAACACTACATTAATACTTTAAAGCCTTATAGAAGAGGTATTAAATAGTAATGTTTTGGCACTACAGAGCATGCATTGCCCACTGCTCTCTCACAGAAATGCACTGTCAGTGGTTGTCACAGCAGCTGGGTAAAATGCTCCCAAAGCTCTATGTTGACACTGGAATTTCTGGTTCAGTTATGGAGGTCAGTAGTGTGTAAACATCCACCCACTCTTTTCACAAATGGCTGCTGATATATTTTACTTAGTGGAACAGTCTCTGTGGACTGCTTATAGGAAACTGCATTCTTTGTATGCTTGTGTGTGTGTATGTGTGCATCTGTGTGCAAGAGAGCCACTTGTTATCTTGTTTGCATTGTCCTCCAGTGAGCACCACCATGCTCAGGGTGTTTCCAGCATGGCAGTGATGTAATGCACACTGTGCCCACACCCCTTGTTTACACAGTCACGTGTTGCCTCCGAGTCTTTGTACAGCACCCAGAGCAACAGAAAAAGCTTAATATGCACAGTGGTTGCTTTCTTCACCACTCATCTCCAGTTCGAGTCATTAACATGGGAGAATTTAATTCAAATTAAATGTCAGTTTTATTTAATTGAACATGTGCCCTGCAAAGTGTTTGTTAAATCAAGTGTGTTTGCATCCAGACATTATCTGTTGTTGGGAAACTACCCAAAAGTCAACAATTTAAATTTAGTATGCAGTTAAAAAAAATCTTCAATTGTTTAAGGTGCTAAAAAAATTCAGTTTTCAGTGCAGATCTTAAGAGAAGTGTGCCAAAGTGGTGCCTGATCAAGAATGGTGTTCACACTCTGGTGGTCTGTGCCATGTGCTTTAGGATCACAGAGGCGGAGGAAAAGGGAGGGCTGCTCTGTTAGCATAGTGTGTACCCCGGGATAAATATAGTCTCACAGCTATGCCACCATAGCATATTGGACCTCATCACTGTGCTGTGCCTCAGCTAAAAATTCTTGCCTGACCTTCAGTCTTGGAAGACACCGGTTGGTCACAAGGCTTAGAGGAAGCCATAGCCAAAGCAGCTCACAGAGAAAGAGAGAGAGAGTGAGATCTAGAGATTGCGTGGTCTCTTGTACCAAACACTACTCCCACTTTTTAAAACACAGCCGCTGTTGGCTCTGTTTGCCATGGAAGCTATGCCCAGCAGGACAGAGCCAGCTGCTACACAAGACATGGACGCTGGTGGATTTTACTAGCGAGCATTAGTCTTGGTTCAGGACAACTCTGGATACCTTCCCCACTATGGACAGGACGGCTGTGTGCTGGAGTAAGGCCAGCGTCATCAGCTTCATCAAAGGCCTGGGTAGGTGCTAAGTTGCCACGAGTGAACATGTTCTGAAAGCCATACAAGATCGTCACACATGCTGGGCATTTCTAGAAAGCTATCCAAATGCTTCATGTCCTGAAAAGACCAGGAACAAATGACTTGGTACCACAGTATGTCCCCAGCTTCTCTTGTGCAGCTTTGTCAGAAAGGCATATTCTTGGAGCCTAAAAAAATGATGATTAGAAGAAGACTAGAACTCCTTTCTTTTGTTTCTTTCTGCACAGCATGTACTATGTGTAAAATCCCCTGTTCCTGTGTGTGCATTTGTTTGCAACTTCCCTTGGCTACCTGTAAAGGTGTAATAGTTTTAAGAAAAGTAGAGAGCAGAGCTGTTTTTATCCTCTCAACCTTTGAGCTTTGAATAAATTATGTTTCTGCTTTTGATTTCTCTTTTGGCAGGCAACAGAGGTCATTAAATTAAGTTTCCATTGACCTGATTCCACTGTTTGATACATGATTTAGGTGTCTTGTCACAACTTGACTAGATGAGCATAGGTAAGTTAAATTTAAGGGCTCATCCCACTTCCAGTGAACATCTGTTGTGCTTTAACGTGATGTACAGGCTTACAGTACCTTTGCTGATTCTTTCCTTCATTTTCTTCCTTTCATTAGCAGAGCAAACCAAAATACAAAGATAATTTTGCTGAAATTATACTTTGTCACAATAAATACCCTTCTTTGAAACATGTTTCAGGCTTCTTCATATTTGTTATATAGTGTTACAACCTCCAGAGAACTTGGACTATTTCAGTAATTGTTTATATTTTTCCTTTCAGCTATCATTAGTTAGTCATTCAACATTTCACATAGTCTCAGAGATATCTCTCAGTATGGCAGCTGTACCCTGCCAAAATATGTAGCGAGGCTGAGGTGTTTTATGTGCTGGCTCTGTAATCTCTAACTAAACTATTTATAAGGGAGATATTTGGCGAGTGTGGATCCATGATTTAATAGCAAAGAAAGCAAAACTAAAAAGCTGGCCACAAAGTCTGGTATTTGATATGTGACTCTGACAGATGTAATGTTTTCCTGACACAGTGCAGGCTGTGCTTTGCTGTTGCAGTTGTGTTGTGGTTTCTGTCCAGTCACATTTATTTATTACACAAGCACAGACTTTTACACACAGAATTCAAAAGCTGTAGAAATGTGGTTCTCATTATAAGGCAGTAAATCTTCCCGAATCCCTATCTGAATATTTTACACACCAGATTTAAAGCAGTTCATGAAGTTTCAGGCTAAATAAAAAAATGTACAGTTCTAATGAGATGTTTGTATGCAGTTCTTTATTTAGCACTCTAGTGTCTGAAAGCAGCAGAGTGCAACACTGAGGTAAATTTGAACTTATGTGTTAGTTTGTAGGGTTTTATGGCCTAAGCCAGGACATCTGTAACTGAATGTGGGCCACATCATAATACTGGCTGAAGGATGGTCACATGCACAAGATTTTTGCTTCCCTCAAATGCACATGACATCTTTGGTACGAAATGAAAACACCAGCTGCTGGCCATGGTGTTTTATTTTCCATATGTGCTCTGTTCACTGTAGGCGAAGGAAAGAAAGAGTTGGCTGGGGCAAGCCGGTGCCCTCTGGATGTCTCCCTCAGGAATGTTCAACATGTTGGGAACTTTATGCCATGTTTAGAATCTTCCCACTAATACCGTATTCAGTAATGTCTCTTCGTAAACAGACCTGTAGCTGATGCTGTCCCACTTATTTGTGCTTGAATTGGCAATGTTTGACTTAACAAAACTTCCCATCTTGTGATTTTTGTGTTGTTTCTGCAGCGTCGCCCTTGGGGAACGGATACAGTAAATCCCCCAACCCTCCAATCTGTTGTCCTCAGGGAGAGAAAGGTCCTCTGGCCATGATGCCCATCACCATTGATCCAGAGAGCAAGCCAGGCGAATATGTCCTCAAGAGCCTGTTTGCCAACTTCACCACCATGTCAGAGCGCAAGATCCGCATCATCATGGCTGAGCCACTGGTGAGTCTGCAGAGAGTGACAGACTGGAGTGTTAATGCTCCTTGTTGTCTTGTGGTTATTGGTTGTTATTGCTCTGGTTCACTTTTTAAAGGCTGTTGGTATAATCAGGGGGAAGTGAGGATGTGCTGCATCTTGCAACCCCTTGTGAGTGTCCTAACCCACAGGTTGTTAATCAATATAGCAAGGTCAGACAGGAAGACTGTAGCTAGTTTGACAGTAATGACTTGCAAACACTGGTGCAAGTGCGCAGTCTTTAATAATTTTACAACAATTTAAAGATACTCCAGTATAAGTGATTGTATACAAATATAACAAGTATTATTAGCGAAATATTCTTGAAGTATGAAAGGTAAAAGTACTTGTTTTGCAAAACAATGGCCCCTGTGGCAGACATTTTATTATAGATTACAATAGTAGATTGTTATTATCAATGAAATAAATCACAAGTAACATTTTGCTGTATTCAGTCAAGATGGAGCAATACTGTAATATGTACAGTTTCATGGTTTAGTCCAGTGATTCTCATCTTACATAACAGACTCAACAAAAAGAATCATTTCACTTTTCTATACCGTGAGCTCATACAGTGTTGTTACTTTACAGTAGGAATGCCACTGACATTACTTTCATTATCATTTGAATTTGCTGATATAATTTCAATCACAACTTTGCAAAGCAGGAAGTGATGTCTTCAAATGTCATGCTTTGTTCGACCAAAAGTCCAAAACCTCCAAATTATTCAGTTTACAGCAGCAAATCTTCTGATTTAAGTAATTCATTAATTAAAAAAAAAGAAAAATAATTGAAAGATTTGTTGATAGTAAAAATAATTGCTACTGTAGTTGCAGCCCTAATCACGCTTGAATAAACCCTGTTCTGAGGCGTTTGGGGAGCTGCCAAATGCCTGGTATTTTTTTAGGGAATGCATATCATGGTTCAGTATTAATCAGCATGGAAGGGGTTGTTCACTCAGTATTTAATAATTTGCACTGGGAATTTAGACTATTCTACAGTTTTCTGATGAAGGTAAAAGTTGTTAATAAAGTTTTTGAGAGCCCAGTCTGAGTTTCCTGTTGAGTCTGGAACCAATCAATAGGGCCTACAGCAGCTGTCATAAATGACTCTGTTGACAAACCGCTAGGCAGGTGAGGAAGAACCACACTCTGTTAATGTCGGCACCACACAACACCTGCTCCCAGGACCTCATCAGTATCCTACAAGTGCTACTCAAAGTCCATTAAAAACAAACAACTGGTTCATGTGACTAGAAGAAGCCCTGTAACCTTATGTTCTAAGACACTATAGCTTTGCTGACCACAAATACTTACTCTGTTTAGTGTACTTGTGGCTGCTATGGACAGGTGATTTTTACAGGAAGCTATTAGTCAACAGCCTCGGTCTGCACAGAAGTGTTAATTACCACTGGGAACATGTACAATGCTGGCTGAGTAATTTGTTTTAGCTTTGCCTTGTATGGCATACAGCTGTCTCCCCTACACATCCTCATTATTCAGGTAAATCTGGTTGACAGAATCCACTGTGTTCAATGATCTGTCATTAGCAACAAATCCTTCAAACACAGAAGAGTTTTTAACAATTTATACAAGTTTAAATTAAAAACAAATGAAAGTTGCAGAAAATAAATTTAGTTTAAGAACTGTCTGTGATGGTTGAGTAGAAGCAGTGTTGCTGTGTCAGCCTGCCTCAAAGGGCAGTTAAATCCCCTGAAGCCCAACAGTGCAAGAGGCATCGATGTTTCTGTCATCCCAGCACTGCCGGGCTCCTCAGATGCAAGCAGTTTGTCCAGATACTAAAAGGTTCATCAGAGCATGAGCACACTGTTGCTGTCAGACCCATCAGACAGTTAGCTATTTTGGATTGATCATCAAGTAAATGATTGTGCTGCAGTTTTTTCTTTGGCCAATGAAACAGTATTTGGAAGAGTAGAGTAGCATAAAGATGAATGTAAGCAGTTGTGTTTATTTTTGCAAGGATAGATTAGGTGGTAATGGTAGATTTAGCAAATACAGTACAGTAACTGTGGATATACTGTGAGCAGGCTGCTAAAGTGTTAGGTTTGCCATCAGGTTAGTGTAGTTTGATGGAGCAGCCCCACTAAAGGTCCCTTAGATGTCTTTAAAAACTAAAATGAAAACTTTGTAATAGTTATTTGCCTCTATTCATCTTATTTGTTTGCATTTCCTAAAAGATTCTATAGGAAGTGTTTGGGCAAGGTGTTTCAATTCATTCACAAATGAATTGAGATAGCGCTTCATAAAGCTTGAATGTGTTTGATGTTGTTCCAGTTATAAAGTAAATTTACGAACATGAACTGCAGTTTATTGACTTTGTTTTTATTTATATAACATTTCATGCACATTTTATCTCTTCAATGGACTAAAGGACGAGATGCTTCATTAAACATTCAGAAATATATTAAAGCAATTAATGTTAAAAAATATTCAGGCAGTGCAGAATTATCATTAGCCTCACCATCCTGATATAAACTCATTCAGCCCTCACTAACAAATAAGATGTGCTACTATGAACTTATACAGTATCTTCCAGAAGTTGTTAAACGTTCTACTGGACAATCCTTACAGCAGGAGATGAGTACATTGACCCTAAATTTGAGATGACAGAAGCCTGTAACAATGGGAGCCATCATGAATGTCTAATCTGTAATGTCTGACCCTGCTGGCATCAGATTGATTGATGTCTGTCCTAGTAGCTGTGCTGTATTGAGTCCCTCTTCAGAAATAGTCCACAGTCGTCTGACAGGGTGAATAGAGTTATGAGTTCTGGACCAAATCAAACAATTAAGAAAACCTACAAACGTTGTTAAATTGCCTTCTTTTTGTTTTTTCAGGAAAAGCCATTAACAAAATCATTACAGAGGGGAGAGGATCCTCAGTTTGACCAAGTAAGTGCACAGGCATATAGGGACTGTTTAGACAAATTTATTTCAGTAGCAAATAACTGATATTTTGATGTTGTATTTTTGGTTTATCTTGAAACCTTTAGGTGATTATATAAAGGACCACTGTTTACCTGTTTTGCCTCTCCCTTTGAGCACTTAGGCAAGTCAGGTTTTATAAATAGTGCTTTAGTATGATGCACTGTGCACTGATGCACTCACACCCCAGAAGGTCTTTCACATCCTGTCAAGGGCAGGAATGTTTACCTTGAAAGATGGCACTGGCCCTGCCCTAGGTGTGTCCAGTAGGTCTGTGGTTCTACAGAGAAGGCCTTTTCACTGCCACAGGGGTGTGTTTGTGGCCAGTCTGCAGCCACACAGAGCCAGGATTCTTCTCCTGCCTCGTGCTGAATGAAGGGCTCGCTGTGTTCCTGGGCCTGACCAGACTCTCCTCCCTTCCTGTGTTCCCGGCCCATTCCTTCCTTTCCCTCTCCCTCCCTCAATACCACAAGAGGCTGTCCCATGGGCACCTTGTCTCTGTGCACAGTCCCATTGAGGGCCAGCTCACCCTTCAATTTCACATCTCTTCATTAATGTAGCCTTGGACTTTACTTAATAGCTATCTCATCTTGTTTTAGTACTTGGTATTATACAGCCATATTCTGTTGTATTTTTTGTTTGAATTGTTGTAAAATTAAACAAAGGAAGCACTGATTGCCGTCTCTCACTTTGATATATTAATGCTAAACGCAGTCATGCATTTGCACGATGTATGTCTTATCCTTTCAGTTGATAAACACCATGAGCTCTTTGGCTGAGTTCTGCCTCCCCTCCATCCTGCGCACTTTGTTTGACTGGCACAAAAGACAAAATGGACTAGAAGAGGAGTCGTATGAGTACCGGCCAAGAGCTAACACCAAGTCCAGAAAGTGAGAATCATTCAGTTTATTTCTGCATGCAGCAATGCATCATCTCTTTTGTACATGTGAAGAAACAATGGTGAAGCTCACCCGTACTGGATGATTTTAGCAAACCTGTTGCTCTTGCTTTTTCTCCCTCTAACAGTGATGAGCAGCAGAAAGATTATCTACTTGAAAGGAGAGATTTGGCCATTGACTTCATCTTCTCTCTTGTACTTATAGAAGTTTTGAAGCAGGTGACTTGACATAATTCCATATCACGCAAAACTACTTAATTATCTTATTATTTTATGATATGGAACTCACTTATCTGGTGGATATTATGTTCTCCTGCTGAGGTCTAAACCTATCATGACTTATATGGTAAGAACTATGAATATCTTATTTTTGAACATGCATCTTATGTAATTGTGTGTCCTGATTTTTAACTAGATGCCGCTCCACCCAGTCCTTGACAGTTTGGTCAATGAAGTAATTAACTTAGCCTTTAAGCACTTTACATACAAAGAGGGGTAAGAGCTCATCTTTTTCCAGCCCACTTCCTTCTCTCTTTCATAGTGTTTTTCCTCGAAAGTTTCTCTTACATTTTTTTCTCTTTGCTTTATATTATGTTTCCCACAGGTATCATGGTCCTAACACTGGCAACATGCACACTGTAGCAGATCTTTATGCTGAAGTCATAGGAGTATTAGCTCAGTCAAAGTAAGTAGCAAACTAAGATTCAGTAACTGAATTTTACAGTTTTTCTGCTTTTTTGTTTTATAGAAAATGGCTGAAATGGCTGTTAGGTTTTTATTCTCTGCCCTATTGGGTTTTGGTGTCATGATACATCATAATAAGGTGTTACCATTACTGATGCCTTTCTGAATAACATTCCCTGGTTCAAGAGACTGGCACATACTGTAGGGATCACTCACTTTTGGACAGGCCCTCCCCCTCACACCAAACTAGGACTGGAAATTGATGCCTGTTTATTTGAAGTTTTCAGATCATCGCATCGCGGCAAGGAACAACCCCTTAAAATAGAGATATGCTTGGTGAGCACACTGCATACCTCAGATCCAAAGTGTGCTCTGCTTAATTTCCTACAGGAGACACTTCACTGAGAGGTTTTTATACAGATCTTTGCTTTTCTCTGAGGTTAAGAAAGGAAGAAAGAGGTCAGGAGGTTTGCTGTAAAGTAAGTTATTGAGACAGGATTCGTTGTTGAGATACTGATGCTGATTTAAACAAGTTTAAAAGCAGTTTCTCTCTCACTGTTCAGGTCTATAGCAGTAATAAATCATTTCTTTTCTCTCTACAAGCTTCCATGATGAATGATCTTCTACATTTAGACCATCTAAATAATCCCATCTCTGCTTCACTTTGGGCAAGGAATTAGGTACTAGATCATATTGGGGCACAGACTCTCAGTCTGCCTAAGGCGAGGGGACAATATTTTAGGGAGGTGACCCCCCTGAGTATGTCACTGTTTTCTAACCATGTCACACCTCCATGTCAACTGGAGGACATTTTTTGTGAAATGCTGATTTAGGATTTGTCTGGCTGAGTCATGCAGACATGTCTTTACATAGAACCTCATTTAGTCTTTTTCTCTCAGGTTTCCTGCTGTGAAGAAGATGTTCATGACAGAGCTAAAGGAGCTGCGGCAGAAAGAGCAGACTCCATATGTAGTCCAGAATACCATTAGTCTCATCATGGGGGTCAAGTTCTTCCGAATAAAGATGTATCCTGTTGAGGACTTTGAAGCCTCCTTTCAGTTCATGCAGGTACACCAGATTTCAATAACTGAATAATATTTTAGTACTTTGATTGGGTTCCAAATAATTATCATAAACCTGCCTTGCTACCGTATAAAGTGTTGTAAGCTCTCTTTTCTTTGCTGTCCTTTGATTTTTGTGTGTTAAATTGGACCCAAGTATAGGCTTTTATCACCACTGTGAAGAAAATGTGCTAAAAATTCTCAGGATTGTCAGGATTTGCTGCCCTTTGACCTTGACTGTGTTTCCTATTAGCTTTGGCATGCCGTTTGTGGATTACATTCAGTTTTGACCATACAGTATCAAGTCTATGTATCTCTTGGGTAAATCTTTTCTTAACACTCTTTACATGTATTGTACTTTTAAAGTATTCTAAGTTTTAT